TTTTTGGTTTTGTTATTTGAACATTTTGTACGATATATGTATATATACATATACTTACGTATAGAAACAATTTATATACATATAAACAAATATATAAATTGTTTCTTTTTTTCTGCCTCTGTATTTCGCCTTGACTCGATTTCGCCTGGCGCCCGCCCAGATTCAAGCAAAAAGTTCTGGCCGCTGCCAGTGCTGGAAATGTTTGCGTAATATCGATAGCAAATTGATATATCGGAGTTTTGAATTTCCCCAAATGATATGGAGAAGCTTCGATTGTGGAGACTGGTTAAATAAAAGGTTAAATATTTATATTTGATTATAAATAGTTAGAATTTAGTTGCGCTATTTAAAAAGCGCTGACACTCGAAGCTGCAGCTGCATTAGTTGTCTGCTATTTGATCTGCTTATAGGTCGTGATATGCGTGACTAAGTGATGACGTCACGCGCTCATCACAAGCGCCAAGCACTTATGTAAATTATATGTATGTATATGTAAGTGCAGATATGTATGTATGTATGTATATATGTATGTGTTAGTCAATATGCGTTGGTCAGTCTCATTTTATAACGGGGCCAATTGGAATGTAAGCCAAGCCCGCGCACACACACATTTGCACATTCACACACACACATCTGCACATGCACATATGTATAAACAGGACACTTGGCAACTCTGGAAGGTGTTTGGCGCGTCGCTGTCTCTGCCGCTGCATGATGTCATCGATGCAGCACGGGCTGCCAATTATAAGACACACACACACACGCACGCAGGCATGCATAAAGAAGGATAAGTGCGTGAATAGCCAGCACATACATACATAYATACATACACATATGCAAGAATGTGTGCCAACAGCGAATGGCTAATGCATGTGTGTGAGTGTGATATATTTGGTTTGTCTTTTTGATGAATTTTTCAGCACTTGTCAGATTTTTTTATTTTATTTTTGGCTTGTGTATTTTATTTACCGTTATCAGGGCGGGCGTAATGACGCCATTAGAAGGCCGAAATATAACGGCAACAACACAAAGAAAAGGCCAGTCGACAGCATTAGGCACTGTGTGTGTGTATGTGCGTGCATGTGTGTGTGTGCTCCCGCATAATTAATTGGCATTTAATTTGCATTTAAGCGTTGCTTATGAAAATCAATGGCGGCAACCCGCAGGCAATTCTCGCGCCGTTGTCCTTGCCAGCGACTTTTAGCCTTTTTTTTTTTCTTCTTTTGCAGCTAACAAGCCCTTAAGCCAGCTTAGAAACAGAAATCTGTTTGTACTTGTTTATGACTGACAATATATCAAATTATTTACACTTAATGTTGTTTCAACTAATTTAAAACTAACATTCATTCTTCTTCATCTTCCCTTTTGTTTCTATTTCGTTTTCATTGTTTAGCTTTTTAATTGTTTCTTATGGCAGGACATCCTTGACATGCTTTTTCCAAATGTCCTTAATGAGTCGATGAGGCACAAATACCACATTTTAAATAAACAATTCCCTGTCCATTCCGTTTGCAATTGCGGTTATACCGAAGGTACACATAATTAAATCAAATATTTATCATAACCTAACTCTTTGCTAATAGCCAATGCATAGCTGAAGTACACGACCTACTTTAGTCTACTTTCATTTCTAAAGTACCCACCAAGTCCACTGAACCACTTGTTTAAATGAAGGACCAGCCTTGGTCCTATTTCAAAAATACCAATTAGGGTACAATTGGGACAAAGCTTCAATATAGTACCTACTTCAGTCCGTTTTCTTAACTGAAGTACTAAATATTGAAGTGTTCTCTGTACCATTGGATAAATAGTGTACCTACGCAATAGATATGTGGGAATAAGAGCACAATTTGTTCGGTGTACCTTTGCTAATCATTGGAACTTCTCATCAACCAAACGCTCCATATATAATATATAGCTTTGGGTACATTTTATGTGAGTTTACTTCCAAGTACCAGTTTTCTATAGTTTTTGATATATTTTAGCATTATAAATTTTGTTAAACTTAATACCATTTCAGTGTACTTTTGTTGGTACATACCATTGGAAGTCAGTCGCTTAGGTATGGTGCAAGACAGCTAGGTGTCTCAGTGTATTTGCTGTTGTCTTTTGATGTACAGTGGAATCCGTTTATAACGAAGCCTAAGGGATCGTCGTTATATCTATTCAAGTTTGCTCATATAAGTTTGTCTTGGGACCAGAATTCTCGTCGCAGTATTCATAATTGGATATACTACTCTACTTGTACCTAATCTCTCTCCATTTTCGCATTTGTACCTATTTTGTTAAGCTCAAGATTAGGGTGTCGTTTCCTTGGTACATTTGATATCCGTTTGTCTGTCTTTAACTCTGTTGGTACCATTACGTGTTCTTGTTGTGTACTTCTTATATCATTGTACCTATTTTAATACACTTTGTATAATGTGGAAGGTAATTCTTGTACTTGTACCTAAGCTTTATAAATGCAAAATGTACCACTGGCTATCAGTAACTGCAGCTGTATTGGTACATTTCATCTGGCACATTTGACCTACCATTGCTTATCAGCTCCTGTACCTGTAATCAAAGTACCTTTTTTGGTACACATTTTTCAGTGTATTGTACCAAATCAACATGATGTAGCGCCCTACGTTTTAACTTTTTTGCTGATTTTAGCATTGCGAATCATCATCGCCTGTACCTGTGCCTGCTGTGGCACGACTCAAGCCCCAGCCAAGCGCCGAGTTCTCGGGCGGCTCTTGTGGATGGCATGTGGAACGCAAGTGGCAATTTGCATGGCAAGAATTTCGGCGGCTATTCCGTTCATCGCCCGCGGCGCATTGCAGTTAACCCCGAAAAACAATGAAGCAAATGGCATCAGCAGTCACACAAGACACACACACACACACACACACACACACAAGCATAAACAAACACACACACACATACAGATAGACACACACTTTGCATGTTGTGCTCCATTTAGAGGCTGTTTTGGCTGAGTGCCTGCCAAAAAATCAGTCAACTGCATGCAGCAAGCAGTTGAGCAAATCGCGTGCCGTACATTTCATCCGAGCCACCCCAGTCCCCAGGCCCGCCTTTATCCTCACCACCCCCCATCCGACTTGGCTGGGCTGGTGCAGCTGCACTGGCACATGTTGCTCTGCTGATGGGGCCCGCAATTTGATGTCTGCCCCACAAATTGACTGTGGCACAGAGTTGAGCGTCAAGCGTTTGGCTTTGTGGCATTTTGATGATTTCTGCTAACACCAAACGCCCAACCAACAAGCCAGACCACCACACCACCCCAACCATCCCAACCACCCCAACCACCCACTCTCCTAGCACATTCTGTGGACTCTAATCGCGTGCCTGCTGCACATTTTAGCGCTCGTTGTGGGGCATCGTTGGTCTTATTGTTGTTGTTGTTGTTGCTGTTGTTGCTGCTGGTTGCCAAAGCAACGCATTGAAACACGAAACGAAATGCAAAGCAAACACAAAATACTAAAATATAAAGAGAGAACAAAAATTGCAAGAAATAAATGAAAGAAAATTTCTATAAAACAGCAAAAAACATGGAAATGGCTCCACGGTAATTGGCCAAAGCTTTGGGTTGTAGGAGAGAAGGAGAAGCAGGAGCAGCAGTTGCAGCAGCAGCAGCAGGAGGATAAGCAGGGGGAGGAACGACAGCATCAGCAGCAGAAGCAGTAGCAATAGGAGGAGGAGGAGCAGCAGCAGCAGGAGGGGTAACAGCATTAGGAGCAGCAGGAGCAGCAGTAGGGGTAACAGCAGCAGGAGGAACAACAGCATCAGCAGCAGAAGCAGTAGCAATAGAGGGAGGAGGAGGAGAAGCAGCAGCAGGAGGGGTAACAGCATTAGGAGCTGCAGGAGCAGCAGGAGGAGTAACAGTAGCAGGAGCAGCAGGTGCAGCAGTAGGGGTAACAGCAGCAGGAGGAAAAGCAGGAGGAGGAACAACAGCATCAGCAGCAGAAGCAGTAGCAATAGGAGGAGGAGGAGCAGCAGCAGCAGGAGGGGTAACAGCAGCAGGAGCAGCAGGAGGAGTAACAGCAGCAGGAGCAGGAGGAGCAGGAGGGCTCGGTTAAGGCCGCCTTAGAGTTTTGAATTAAGATCAAAGCGCGTTGGTAAATGGCTTGAAGGCTGGATTTTGACCGCTGAGTGTGCTGACCATTGAGTGCATTTGTGTGTCGCTGTGCGTGTGTGTGTGAGTGTGTGTGTGTGTGTTGATGCGTTTGG